CACAGCTGCAGTTTGTCGTGCATTTTGTAGACAAACCAAACTTAATGCGTGCAAGTGGCTGGGGTCGCTGGGGTTTCTTGGGCTTGGAGGTACCAGACCGCCCTTGCTCTGTGCATGCATAGACATGATTCAGATGTAGGTGAGGCATGACATAGCCATAGGTGTCCAGGTTTTACGGAGCCTCGTTTATGCTTGGTGGTTTCAATTGAGCTCGGTTTTGGATGGCATCTAAAAACCTCAGAAAGGGAAATAGGGGTTTGGCATGTGCGATTAGGCAATGTCAGGCAGGAGTGAACAAATCACATAAAATATGGGGAAATGGAGTGAAAAATTGTTCCTCATAGAGTGTTGCTTTATACTCAAAGTCGGCAATTCTAGGGCACTGATTCAGCACTCACCACTGTCAGGAACGCTCCGATGCGCCGCGTGCGCTGATAACTGGTCTGGCGCCGCTGGCGCCAGTCACTCGTTCGACCGCGCGCTTATCCGCTCGTCCGCATACTGCGTGGGTGAAGCGTCGCAGGGCGGGGCTGCCCGGCAACGTGGTGTGCGGCGCAGAGGAGAACGGGGGGTCCCACGGCAGCCGACGTCCGAACTAAGCCAAATGTCAACTGCAGTCCGTCTTGTAAACATACCGTCCCGTGACGTCAGTAAACATACCGTCCCGTGACGTCGTCTGGATACGTGCTGTGGTTGGCTCCGTGGAATGCAGGGTCATGCAAGTTCAATGCGTCACCCACGTGAGACGCTACCGCACAAAATGTGCGAATGAGATTCACGCTGCTGGGACGAAACTTGGAGTGACAGGTGCTTCCGTGCATTGTCTTCTAAATATGAGTGCACGAATCATTGCCTGACATGCTAGCTAGTATTTTTGTTTTCACTACGTTTGCTAAAAACACACTGATGTTCGACCTCCACCTCTCCCTCATATCAAGACGAGCGCTAATCAGCTTAATCTGCCAACCTGCTATCTCCGCGCTGATATGATAATCTACGGACTGGACCAGAACCGGCCGCCAGCCTTTACCTTATAAACAAACGAATGAGCACACTTGCAAATCCAGCTAGGCAATGAAACATGCATACATACGGTCGGTCGCACAAATATGGCCGGCGACATGACGGCGCCACCGTCCAAGCGCAGCGCACTTTTGCAGCAGTGCCCGGGTCCGATTGGCACGTGGCATGGGTGGGGTGAGAGGGATGACCGGCTCCCATCGCTCCCGCCATGGCGCGCAGCCAGGAATTTCGCTCCGGGAGACGTTGGCTGTCCGGAACCCTTTCCGAAGTGCCCCCTCTCCCAAGCTGGAAGGGTGCTAGCGGCACGAGGTCAAAACCTAGTCGTGTGGGTCACCAATAGGTGGCGCCAACGATGTTCTGTGTGGCATTGTGCGCCAGGTGAGAAATGTGTGCATCCCCACAGCTTCGCTGCTCTGTTTATGTTAGGTAATGATATTAGTGACATGCCTGTCACAGAACGGTTGACAGTATGACCATTGTTTGGCCGCTATTGACATATTGACTACCGGAACTAGGCAGATGTTTGCTACTGTCAAGTGTGGTAGTGAAACCGAGCCATATCGCTAATATTGTATGATTATTATATAATACAATATAATATATATAATATATATATATATAATATATATATATATATACTAACATAATATCAAATTTACTCCTTATATCGCTGTGACACCACGGACGGTGAGCGTCGCCAAGGTGGGGTGGCGCTGTACATCAGTCAAGAATTAATACACACGCCACTCACTCTTAACACACCTCTTCAGGCTGTTGCATGTTCAGTTCGACTGCATGGCCGTACCATCGAAATATGCTCAATATACATTACACCAAATTATAATAATACGGAGCTCTTACGGCAACTTGACCAACTCGTTGCTCAATTTCAAAACTCTTTTCTCATCCTCGGCGATCTCAACGCTCACAGTCCAGCTTGGAGTAACGGCACCCAAGCCGTTGATCGCCGAGGACATTTGGTTGAAGATTTTATTGATACGCACAACTTAGTCCTGCTAAACAAAGGCAATAATACTCATCACCACTTACCCACTGGTACAGAACAGCTATCGACCTGTCGCTGTGCTCTCCCTCAATAGCGGCATACTTTGATTGGACTGTTGAGGGAGATATACACGACAGCGACCATTTTCCAAGTAAACTTTACACCACTTTTGACGCAACCGCTGACGAAGTTTTGCGATCCATACCCCGCTGGAATTTACGAAAAGCAGACTGGGCCAAATTTCAAGAATTGTGTTGTGTGAACCGAAACTGTTACGAATCACCAGAGCAGGGTGTTGGCCTTATTACACATATTATTCATGCTGCAGCGACCGCGACAATTCCACTGACTAAAACCCCATCACGCCGCATCCCAGCACCATGGCGGACGACTGAAGTTAAGAACGCTATTGCACGTCGGAAACGTGCTTTCCGCTTCTTTCGTCGCCACTATGATGTACCTCATTTTCTTACCCAAAAATATGAGCGTGCTCGAACCAGACGAATTATAAGGAAAGCCAAACGTCATTCTTGGCAGGCACACATCCAGCAGTTCACTGCTGCTACTCCTCTGAGCCAGCTATGGGGACTGGTTTGAGCACTTTCCGGAAAACGCACCTCTATTTCCTTGCCCACTTTACGCATTAATAACCAAATCATTTCGGCAACACCTCTTATCACCAATGCTCTTGCTGAAAGTCTCTCAGTGTAGCTCATCCGGAAATTACCAACCAGGATTTGTGGAAACTTCGCAAGCCCGTTTTCGTTTACATACTAATTGTTCTTCTTCCGATAACACCGAAGATTAATTTACCATTCTCATTTCTGGAACTAAAAGGCCATAAAATCCGCCGGCAACCTCAGTAGGTCATGATCAGTTACACTATTCTTTTTTTCGTAATCTTTCAGAAGATATGCTTCGTTTTATATTGGCAGTTTTAATGATTTGTGGTCAACCCATGTCTTTCCTGACGCCTGGAAATACACCATCATTATTCCACTTGCAAAGCCAGGAAAAGACACCAAAGATCCATCAAATTATCGTCCCATTGCACTTACCAGCTGTCTAGGAAAACTTTTTGAGCGGATGGTGGTGAAGCGAATCTCTTGCATTGTAGAACGAGACTGGCTGCTTACAAAAAATCAATGTGGTTTCCGACACAATCGTAGCACAATAGACCATGTCATCAGACTTGAAACTGACATCAGACATTCTTTTAAACATCGACACCACACAACTGCCGTATTCCTGGATATTAGCCGAGCCTACGACATGGTCTTTAAACCTGCACTAATTTTCAAGCCCCATCAGTTAGGGTTTAAAGGCCATTTGGAACATTATCTTATTGGGTTTCTTTCCGGCATCAGACCATTTCGTGTGAGATGCAGTTCAGCCGTTTCCGACACTCCCCATCTGGAAAACGGCCTCCCACAAGGAAGCCGTATCTCACCAATTCTCTTTAATTTTATGATAAACGATTTATTTGACTCATTACCAGCGGGCATTTGCTCTTCACTTTTCGCGGATGATAGCGTGATCTGGTGCTCAGACGCTGAATATGACCATTTGCTGTCACGGCTCCAAGCCGCCCTAAACAAGGTGCAGCAGTGGTCAGAGCGATACGGGTTCCGTTTCTCCGCTCCCAAATCTGCAGTTATGATTTTCAGCAAAAATATGCGTGGTACTCCCAATTTTCGGCTTCGACTAGATGAACATTACATTCCTTTTGTTTCGTCTTTCAAATTTCTTGGCATCGTACTTGACCCCAGATTATCGATGCGACAGCACGTGGAGCATGTTCGCTCCAAATGCCTTAAACGACTAAATTTCTTTAGATGCATTTCTGGGTCAAGATACGGTGCCGACCGCCAATCGTTATTACGTCTATACAAACCCTTAGTTCTTCCCATCATTGAATATGGCTCCGTGGTATATGCAGGAGGCAGCCAACATACTCTCAAACCGCTGTCCACCATACAAAATATGTTTTTGCGAGTTGCCCAAGGAGCTCTGCGTACTTCCTAGATTTCAGCGCTTGAAGCGGACGCTCACGTTATGCCTCTTGCCCTCCGACGAATGGAACACACATTGAGATACATAACAGAAGTGCGACGAAATCCCAGTCACCCAGCTTTTGAATCCATGCATATCTTACCTCACATTCACCATAACTACGTAGGACCGGCAGAACGTCGCTCAGGACTTACAATAGCATCTCGAACCACTGTCTACTGTACCACTCTTCAGTTTGCTTTACCGCATTCTTCCGTTCCACCTGCTTTAATAGTACCACCATGGCAGTTGACCCTTCGGAAAGTTTTGTTTCTTTTTGATGATCCCAAACGCATTTTCAAAGTTATGTTCAACAAACATTTAATCGTCTAATTTCAAAAATCAAAATAGCAGCTTTATTTACACCAATGGCTCCAAGGCCAATAACACACCGGATGTGCAGTTATTTGCACTGAGCATTACTATAAAAATTGTCGGTTACCAGATGGCACGTCAGTATATTTGGCTGAATTATTTGCTCTTTCCTTGCATGGCAACACATTCAACAACACACCCATACAACGGAGACGATAGTGATTTGTTCGGATTCAAAGACAGCTATACAATCTCTTATTGACCCAGACTTCACACACCACCTCATTGTTAAAATCGTCAATCTCTATTATATATTACACACACAGGATATGAATATCAAATTTCTATGGATTCCAGGACATACAGGCATCATGGGCCATGGATGAACGGGCTGACCAACTAGCCAAGGAAGCTTTGACAGACCCTCACATCATGGAGATCTCTGTTGATCATGCATCTACAAAACCATTCCATTCGCACAATGACAAAAC